TGCAGGCCACAGCCACTTGACTGACCCAGAGGGGAGGCATCTCAAAGAAACACAGTGCATGGTGCAGCAACTTGAGTGATCCTGCACTGCTGTGCTCCAGCCGCCACATCCGGTGCCTGGGGCCCACTGGCGAAACCTGTCACTGCAGGTCCTGGAGCGACTTGGCACCACTATCTGCCCCCACCCCTGCTCCCGCTGCTACCAACCCGGAAAGAAGGAAGCACAAAGTCCACCACCAGCCACTGCTGCCGCCATGCTCCAGCCACTGCCACCCGGAGGGCAGGTGGGGCAAAGTAATACAGTGCAGGCCACAGTGCTTGACTGATCCTGAGGGGAGGGACCAACATATGCTGTCCCTTTCTGCAACTTACTAGCACATGGCAGTATGAAGGATCATCTAGCCAGTGTGCTTCAGAAGAATTGTAACCAAAAAAGAAAGAAACTGGGGCCTCCCAGAAGAAGTAAAAAAGATGGGAAGAGGACGCAAAAACAAAAAGTCCCCAGGTCCCAACCCTGAGAACATTGACCCTGGACAGGTAAATACAAAGGAGAATGAGAACAGCAAACATGCAATATCAGACACAGCACCACTGGACACAAAGAGATATATTCGGGACCTCATAGATGAGTTCAAAAGTGAAATGTTTAGCCAAATAAAACAAGATACAAGAAGATTAATAAGAGATACTAAGCACTCTTCATGCAGACACAGACGGAAGAAGGGAGGGACTCAAACAAAGGAGAGAACCATTTGATGAAGAATATAAAAAACATAGAATACATGAAGCAGATTCAAAGATATCACCAGGAAATTAAAAACTCTATGGAAAGATGGCAAATCAGCTTGAAAGAAACTAAGGATAGATTATCCAAACTGGAGGACAATTTTGCAATGTGGGAGTATGAAAGGGAAAACTTTTTAAAAATAACAAGAAAACAAGCAGTAACAATACAAAGGCTAGAAGATGACAAAAGAATCTATAACAAGACTAAAGAATGTGAATGAAGAAGCTGGGGTACAAACAAAGGAACTACAAAGGCTATTCACAGAAATAATTAAGGAAAACTTCCCAAACATAGGAAAAGGAAATGATATTCTGATATATGAGGCATATCTAGCCACCTACAACCCAAACAGAGCTATACCCAGGCATATAATAATCAAGATCCCAGAAATTCAGTATAAGAACAGAATATTAAAAGCTGTTAGAGACAAGAAACAGATAACCTATAAAGGAAGGCCCATCAGAATAACGGCAGACTTTTCGATACAAACCATCAAGTCAAGAGGAACTTGGAGTGAAATATTCCAAGCCCTGAAAGAAAATAATTTCCACCTCAGATTGATATACCCTGCTAAACTGTATCTAAAAATTAATGGGGAAAAAAGATGCTTCCAAGACAAAGAGGAACTTGGGAAATTTGCAACCACCAATCCAACTCTATAGAGAATGCTGCAGGGTATTCTAGAGAGAGAAAAAAGTACTAGGATTCTAGGACCAGTGGCAGAGAGGCCTCAATGAATGGAGCAGAAAACAGAATGAAGAAGATAAGCAAGACACTGATGGCAAAAAAAGAGCATAACAGAAATGAAGCAGAGAAGATTTTATTGAAAACTGATATGATTGATAGTATTAAGTCTGAGAGTATAGGCAACTACACTGAAGATGACAAGACTCTACAATACACATTCTGGTTTGATAAATGCCGGTTTTTGAAGTTCTATACTATATACAAAGTTGTGTTTTTATTAATACCGTTATGTACTGATATATTCAATTATACTATGTTTGATGATATAGCCAATTCTATCGGAGATAACAAGAGGCAACACAGGAACCAAGGTAGAACTCTTTGTACAACGGGCTTATATGTTTATTTTGTTTCATGTGTTTATAGGAATATGTTTTGTTTTGCCTTGCTTTGTTTTGTTTCTCCATCTAATATAGAAAGATAGAAATACATGTTAAGCCTCATGCATGTGTAAAATCTATAAACAGTTTATGAGAACTGATCTTATGATACATGATGAAATGAACAGCTACTTTGAAGAAAAAGGGCACTGAAGTACCCAGCGCTGATCCTGCAGTGTCATAATGTGAAACCCAGCAATAGTATTATTCTTTGTTCAGAGTGATATTAGCATACTTGGGTTTGTTCAATGTCAACATATGGTTATATGTTGAAGATATGGATAACTGCATATACGTTTAAGTGTATAGGATTGATAACCATATTTCTAAGTTTTTGTTGGATAGTTGAACAGAACTCAATGCAGTCTCACTTAGAATCCCCGCTTTATAGGCCTCACTTTAGTATCTTGAATAACTATTTGTAAGATGATCTGTAATCATCAATTATTGATTTCTTACTGTTTATTTTTTCTTTGAAATTATGTATTATTTCTACCCGTTTTCTGTTTTTATTTAGTCTTTCTTTAAATTAAATTTTTGAATAAGACCCTACAGTACCCAGTGCTGATCCCGGAGTGTCATGATGTGAAATCCAGCAATACTATGATTCTTTTTCAGAATGATTTTAAGCTGCTTTAGTTTGTTTAATCTAAACATAAATGAAGATATGGATAACTGCATGTATGTTTAAGTGTATGGGATTCACAACCTTGTTACTAAGTTTTTGTTGGACAGTTGAACAGAACTGTTTACGCTGTCACTGTTTGAATTCCCACTTTACATGTTCTATACTTGTACCTTGAACAACTATTTGTAAAACGGCAATATGTAAATATCAGCTAGTGATTTCTTACTGTTTATTTTTTTCTCTGAACATATGTATTATTTCTACCTATTTTCTGTTTTGTTTAGTCTTTCTTTAAGTAAAATTTTTTAAAAGTCTGAAAATTATTATTATAACCTTAGGCCTAATAATTACACTCCTAAAAATTTACCCTAGGAAGTAATCCAAAGACCTACATAAAAATATGCTTATGAGAACATTATCTGTAATGGAGAAGTTGGAAATGACTTTAGTGTCTTACATTGCAGTTGATGAAATATTATGAAGTCCTAAAATTGTATTTAAGCAGATTTTTAAGTGTGTTGCTTTGTTTTGTTTTACAGTACTGAAGATTGAACCCAAGGGCTCTCTACCACTGATCTACATCTTTAGGGTTGAAAGGGTAGACAGGGTCTTGCTAAGTGACCTAGGCTGCACTGAAATTTGAGGTCCTCCTCCCTCATTTTCCCTAGTGGCACAGATTATAGGCATGTGCTACCATGCCTGGATATTTAAGAGGACTTTTAAGTAACATTGGGAAAGGCTAGATGAGTGAAAGAGCTCCTGCTTCAGTCAAACCTTTCCTCATTGAGATTAATATTAATTCTTTTTACTTTCTTTGTTCTTTTGTGGTTCAGGGCCTTGTACATGCTAAGTCAATAGCTGTCTGCAACTGAGCTACACCTCAAGCTCTGTAACTTCTATTGCAGTTGTCAAAAGTTGGTTTTCCTTCTATTCGAACTTTGTATGTATTCTTTCTTGACTCTGTTCTTTCATAATTCTGTATGGCATTCCATTGTCTGACTACATTACAAGTTTACCCATTTTTTGTTAATATGTATTTGTGGTATTTCCAATTTGAGGCTATTGTAAATAAAACTGTTAATATTTTTGTTCATATCTTTTAGTGGGTATATGCATTCATTTTTGTGTAAATATTTAAGAGTAGGATTGCCATACCATGTGATGAATATGTTTAATTTGATAAAAAACTGCAAAACTGTTTTCTATACAGTACCAATGTGTATTCTCGCCAGCAGTGTTTTAGAGTGCCAGTTACTCCACATTCTTGCCAGTGCTTATTAATGATAGTCTTCAGTTTTTTCCATTCTGGTACGTTTGTAATAGTATCATATTTTGGTTTTATATGTATTTAATTGCTTTTAATTTTCATGTTCATACCTTTTCTAACCAATAGTTTCATTTTTAGCATATTTTCCTAAGAGCATAACCTGAGGGCTGAGAATTTAGCTCAGTGGCATAAGTGCCTGCCTTGCAAGCACGTGGTCGTGAGTTCGATCCCTGGTACTGGTTTAAAAAAAAAAACACATAACTTGCAATCCAAATCCAGAACAATATACTTTACAGGCAATGTATACTCTTGGCAGTAAAACTTAGCCAAATATGAGAAATAACCTAAATGTATCATATAATGGGAGTGGTTACATAATTTAGATGTATTCCTAATGATAAAATCTGTAGCCATTAACAATTATTTAGACAGATTAGTCACAATACTTTTTTTTGTACTGAGAACTGAACTCACAACCTCATGCTTGCCAGGCAGGTGCTTGTGCTTGCTGAGCTAAATCCTGAGCTAGAATACATTATTGTACTTGCAGTGTCAAACATAGGAAATGTATATTAAAATAGACTGGGTATAAATCAACAAAAATATTTTTAAAACTCTGTAAGAAAATGCTGCAATTGATTTGGTTGGTTGTACTATGTGATTTTTTTTCCTCCTTCTTTTTTTCCTTTTTAAAAATTAAGTTTATTGGTACATTTTACATATACATAATGACCACATTCATCATTGGGAACTTGTACCTGCCATGATATATCTTAGTTCCTCTTTTTTTCTGCCATCCTCCTCAGATCCCTTCAACCCCTCTTCCTCTCTTTATTTACAGAGCTTTATTTCCATTTTATCCTTTTTACTCATTTTTTTGTTTTCCCTTCCTCTACCATTCACCTTTAATTTTGAATTTCTTCCTATTTCTTTTCCTCCATCTTTACATATTTTTCTAAAGATCATCATTTTAGAATAGCACAAAATGTAAGTAAATTTCAAGTATCCAGATTTTAAGTTGTATGGTTCTTTCTCCCTACCTACTATATTTCTTGCAAAGTAGACATTTACTCATTTGTATTTCTTTATATATTTTATTTTCCTGTTATTTTGACTCCCAAATTATAAATTGTATGAAACAGCTACTCTTAAATTATTTGTTTTTCTGATAATCTGATGTTGTAACATCCAGTCTAGGACAGAAGATAAAATAGAACGATTCAAGAAAGCAGTTGAGTACTATTCAGTCACAACCAAGCTCTCTTCATTGCCAGTGGGTTCCTCCTTTCTAGGTAAGGCTTCTGTTTGACTGCCTTATTCATTAGGGGAACTGGGTTGACCCTTCAGGAACCCCAGGGCCTGAGCCGAATCACTTGTTTGTAGTTGTTTTCCTTGAAGTTATTCCTGTTTGCTACACATTTTCCTTTTGACTTACATGTCATTAAGAAAGAGTCCTGCCTTCCCAAATTTGTAGGTGAGTTAAAAAGCCATTTCCTTAGCTTGAGCTGCTTCTAGAGCTAACTCCTATTCTGGCATGGTGTGCAGTCCTGTCTTTGGAGTCAGGCCTGACTTTGAATTCTACCTCTACTGCCAACCCGCTATGTGACCTTTCCAAGTCACATTTGTATGAAATGTGTCTCATGATACCTACTCTATAGCGTTATTGTCTGATGAAATAATTTATATAAACTTCCTTTCATGGCACATAATAGCTATTGAATTAATTTTAACATTTTCATGTGATGATGATTTATTAGAGTATTACATGGTACAAGTATTAGGACTGACTAATGTACAGTCCTTTCTCTTGGCTTCAGGCTTTCGAAATAATCATCTTGGAAATCCTTCCCTTCCACGAAATCAAATCTCTGCTGGAAAGCCAATGGTAAGCATCATTTAGAAGACCTGAGACCACTTGTTAGCATTAAAGTCAGGTTGCTTATAATCTGAGTTGGTTAGGTAGGGTGATTAGTGCTATCAGTCTATCGGAAGGTATATCCATACATTACTTTTACATTGATTCAGGTAACCTATGTAAATAAAAGTAGTATCTACATTAGTAACTTTTCAGGCATTGCAAAAGTAGCTTAGCTACCATCAGAGAACGGTTCTAGGAAATCTGGATTGGCTCATATATCACTTTAGAATTATTTCTGCTTATTCTAAGTAGGTACTTTTTATCTCAAGAGTCGCTCTACTGGCATCGTCTACTGTATTTTAGAATCTGAGGGAAGGCTGGTAAAATGTTAAATGGCTTTTCTGTCTGCTTTGTCCTTTAGTTTCCTCACCATGCGCCCCAGAAAATGAAGTACTCACCACCATTCTCAGTGGGACCTAACTCATCTCTTCTCTTCACCTCCCATGCTCTGGGGGAATCCAATGCCTTTTCTGAGGATCCCATGATACAGGATAGTCCCTTTACCAGTTGGGCTGTGTCTTATGACACTTCTGCACCCCAGTTTCCTAATTACCTTACTTCCAAAACTTCACTTCCTTTACAACCAGACTCTTCACATTCTTCTTCCTCTAATGGTGATGAGCCAAATGGAGCCAGCTCTGAGTAAGTATCTGTATAAATATTCTGGAGAAAAGACTTAAAAAGGAATATGGGAAGTGTGTATTCTTGGCTTTCCTCTGCTAGTCTTGCTCTTTGGCCCTTTCCAGATGGTGATACTCAGACATCTATGGCATTACAGTAAAAGGTAGCATAGCCATTGGTTAGAGAAACTATGATATGGATGTATTATGTAACATATGAGTGTAATTTTACAATGATTGAATGTAAAAAGGAAAAGGGAATAATTTATCCACTTGCAGTATTGGAACAGCTGAATAGACAATTGTATTGCTTAGTAACTAAGGCAGGGTTCTTACTATATACTAGCTCATTTGTTTTTAGATTATACTTCTAATTCCTGGGAAGCAGAGTTGTATTTAGGTTGTAGTTCTAAGTATTTTCTTACAATATATGCAGGCTGTAAATATGGCCTCTTAAAAATATAAAGAACTTGGAGTGATTCCGATGACATTTGATTACTTTGGTTTGTATCAGATGAAAGAAGCCAGGAGGGCAGTAATTATAACTGATAGGAAAAGTATCAGGTCTAGAGTTAACCTCATGTCCTGACCCCCAGAGGGGTTTGTACAGTTCTGTAGGATGAGAATGAACATACTGAATAGAAATACCTGTTACAACTTCTTTTGCTAAATTTTTTAGTCACATCACAGAAACACTTCAGCAGCAGCCTGGATGGGAAGATTCTAATGGTGACAGAGGGTCTTGGGCACAGCCTGTTGATGGCGGAGTTTCAGAAGCCAACCTAGGTGATGGCGAGCCTCACATCCCATCTCTACTCTCAATGTCTACAAGGAACCACATGGATATCACCATTCCCCCTTTACCTCCGGTAGCTCCAGAAGTCTTACGGGTTGCTGAATATAGACACAGGAGGGGCCTTATGTATCCATATATCTACCATGTCCTCACTAAGGTGAGACAGCACATTAGCTCTTACCTGCTTACTCTGAACAACACTTTATGCGCACTGAGACTGGAAGTTCTCAAAAAAGTGTAATAGTTGGTATCTAGAAGATAAAAGCATAGGTTTGCTGGTGGCCCTCATTGTATTAAGGGCCTCAAGTGAAATGGGATCAATAGTAAATAAATCTCTGTAAGAGAATTATAACTATGACATTTTGCAATAGATAATGCACCAAGTTTGTGGGCTCTGATTCTAAGGATAGGCATTGTATAAGAAGGGCCTTTGTGCCCTTGTTCCTTATACTTAACTCTTCTTGTATTTCTACATAATTGTTCTTCACCTCTGGACTATCATACAAATTCACACCCCAACAAAATGCCTAAGATAAACTCTCTCCTTTGTCATCTAAAAGTTGATCGTAGTTGAGCTGTTTAAAGTGGAATTATACCTTAAAAATTGATTGTGGTGAGCTGGGCTTTGCACAGCTTCTTTTTAATCTGAAACAAATAGAAAATCCAGTAGTTAAGCCATAATTCATTGCTGGTTCTTCTAAGCTCAATTATAGACTTTGAAGAAACTCATTTTCTCTTTTTTCCTGGATCATTCTCTTATTAGGGTGAGATTAAGATCCCTGTATGTATTGAGGATGAGTGTAACATGGAGCTGCCTCCAGCTGCCCTTCTTTTCCGATCAGCTCGTCAGTATGTATATGGAGTCCTTTTTAGTTTGGCAGAGACACAGCGGAAAATGGAACGTCTGGCCATTCGGCGGCGGCTACCTGTAGAAGGTAAATGTAGTTCTAGCTTTGACAGTTCTCTCATTTTTTGCACATCAGAAAATATCTGTGCAACCATACCATACTTTGGCTATGGAGCAGTCTTAGAAAATACATTGTTCATCAGACTGACTACTGCTTATGAGAACCATGTTGAGCTTTCAGAATATAATAGTATATCTCCCACAATTTTTCCCCTTCATGCTTTTATTTTGAGATTAGATCTTGTAAGTAGTTGAAGTCTTTGAAGCTATTGGAATTTTTTTTTGGTACTGGGGATTGAACTCACAACCTTGTGCTTACCAGGCAAGCGCTTGAGCCCCTGAGCTAAACCCCCAGCCCAGCTATTATAATTTTTAAGCTACAGAGTGACATGGTTAAATTAATGTGTTCAATAGAACACTTTAGATTTCTGCGTCTAAGAAGATGGAGTAGATTAGATATACTTTGCCTATTAATTACAAATAAATTGCAGGACATTATGTATATAAAACAAGCAAAAATTTCTCTAGATTTAAGGAAGAGAGAGGGCAGACCAACTTATGACTTTGCGACCTAGGAAATGATGAGTGATACAATGGAAAGTTCCCTAGGTTTTTCTTACATGTCCTAGATTGGGTGCAGGACAAGGTGAGAAATGTCAGCAGCTGCACAACACACACACACACACACACACACACACACACACAGAACTTACTTCATTTCTCTGACTAAAGGAGTGAAAACAGCAACATAGCCAGACAGAAAATTTTTAGGTGTTAACTGTAATACTCAGCCAAACACCATGGAAAAAATGGTTTATCCCCACTATCAAAGGCCTTGTGAAGATCTAGTCTCACCAGGTTGTAATGAGGTGTTCACCTGCTCCTGGAGCAGTGTCAGATGAGGTCAAATTAGGAGCCAAGACTTTCATTCCCACCTAGCAGTAAGGAGGTAGTGTCCTCCTTTATCTACCAGAGTTGTCAGAAAAAAACTGCTAAAACACGATTTAAATAAGATCTAAAGCCTTTTTAAGTAATGCCCAAAATGTTTAGTCTTTAATTGAAAATTCTTCATTATACCAAGAACTAGGAAGGTTTCAAACTGTGATCTCATGTGTCAGGTGTGGTGGTGCATGCCTGTAATCCCAGCATCCTCAGCAGGATGCTGAGGCAGGAGGATTTCTGCAAGTTTGCAGCCAGCCTGTGTTACAAAATGAGTCAAGCCCATCATGAACTACATAGCAAGACCCTGACTCAGAAAAACAAACAAAAAATTGAGATCTCACACTAAGAAGTAATTAGCAAAATGACAAAACTTTGACTTCCTGGATAAAGATTTCAGACCAGACATTATTAAAATGTTCTAATAATTGCAAACATGCTTGAAAAAAAGTAGAAATTCTAAAGGGAGAAGTAGATTTAAAGATTGAAGTGGAAATTAAGAAAAACACAATAACCAAACAAAAGCACTAAACACCTGATTGTTTAAATGGCATAGTAGAACAAGAGAATGGAATTACTGAGCCTGCAAAGAAAGCAATAGAAATCATATTTTGATTGAGCCAGAATTGCATCAGCAGCAAGAAGGGGGTCTGAGTAGGACTCTTGTTCATGCCATTGACCCAGAGCTGCTGCAACTGGTAAGTAGAGGGTCCCAGATGGGCTCTTGTTCCCACCATTGACCAGGAGCTTTTGCAACTGGTCAGAGAGGTTCCAAGATGGGCTACTGCTTCCTTCATTGACAGGACTCAAGGACTGGAGACCAGCAGGAAAACCAGCAACACAGTGGGACCCTGGCTAGATGGCACACCATAGACAGGTGGGATTAGTGGTACAGAAAAGTCCAAAGCAACAATAACAATATGAGCCAGCCAGTGGTAAATTAGGTGAACCAGCTTTGTGCTTGGGGACAAAGACACCCAGAATAGAAGTGGGTGGGTAGAGTCACCTTCTTTTGTGCCCTATTTTTTTCCTTTTCTCTTTTTTCCTCTTTAAATCACTGGGGAGAACTCCAGCCACAGAGAACTAATCCTGTGTCCCAAATCCAAAGACAAATATCAGATCCAAACTCAGCACGAATCCATCTGCACTCTTGGCTAGAGGACATATTCTGGGATCACACTTGGACCAACCATAGAACTGTAGACACTAAAGGATTCTTCTTTTACTTTTCTCTGTCTGATAGCTTTTTCTCTTGGTAGTCTGCTAGGTTAGTGTGTTTTGCTTTGCTGTTTATTTTTAGTTTTGTTGGTTTTTGTTTGTCTTTTTTCCCCTTATTTTCTCTCTGTCCTGTGTGGCCCTGTTTTATTTTTCTTTCTGTATTTTTTTCATTATGTATATAATTTTTATTTCCTTTTATTCTTTTTTCTCCTCTTTTTCTTTTCCTTTTCCTTTTCTATTCTACATTTTCCCTCTCATTCACGATTTAGATCCTTAAACTTTCCCTTTATGTTATTCCCCTTGTCTTCTTCCTCTCTTTCATCAACTGTCCTCACTTCATTTTATGAGACTCTCCTATGGGTAAACATTGTCTCTTCCTTTCTAGTTCACTTCCATATTCCTAGGCTTTCTCTTCCAATTCCTCTCTCTTATATCTTACAATTACCTAAAATTTTGATGATCATCCTATGCCCACCAAATTTGCTCCTACTGTACTTATTTCTATCCACCTTTCCATCCTTACCACTAAACTTCTTAAACCCTCCCACAACAGGGTAATATCACTCTACTAAGTGGAAAAAAACATTGCATATAAATTCCTAATGTAAATTGAATTATACAATATAACTACAGAATGGGCTCGTATGGCTAAAGATATCACGCTAATAGTTACGTCAGTTTGTCAGTAGCCAGGCTGTGCTTGTGTATATTTTTATTGCTGACTGTACTACTTCAAACAGAATGCCATACCTGTTATAATCAGTTTTTTCTCCTCTATATGACAACACTGAGTTTGCAAGGAGTCATAACCATCACCATATTCCAACACCAAAGCAATAGGCCTTCAGTCAAAAAGATAGCAATTCCACATTCTTCATGTATGGGGAATGTCTTAGGATAGCCAGAAAGACCAACATCACCTATGTCTAGAAGCCATCCTTGAGAAACAGACATAACTTAGGAAAGCCTCAACAAAAGAAAGAATGCTATCTAACATGAGAAATCTACAAGCATCAAGATATAAAACAAAAGAAAATAGAAAATGAATAGAGGAAGAAGCAAAATGCAACCCCAAATGTGCAGCCCACCCAGCCCAATCCCAGGGCACAAAGGGATAGAGGCTAACCAGTGGAACACTCTGAAATGACAACAGCAAAAGTGAAGAAGCAAATGTAAGAGACCATAGAAAACCTAACATCCATGGTACGAAAAGAAATGACAGGGCTGGGGATATAGCTCTCAAGGTCCTGAGTTCAATTCCCAGTACCAAGAAAAAAAGAAATGACAACATGCAAGAAATGAAAGCAGACACAGGTAAAAAAAATAGAGGAGGTAAGGAAAATGATGGAAACCATGATACCCAATATAAATAAAAAATGTAATTAATGAAATAGGTCCAAATAGAAATGCAGATTAACAGCTCAATTGACAGCACTTGGGAGTCTGAGGCAAGAGGATCATTGTAAGTTCAAGACCAGCCTGGGCTACAAAGTGAGCTCAAGACCAGTCTGAATTGCATAATGAAACTCTGTCTCAAAAGAAAAAACAGCAACAACAACTTGGGGCTGGGGATTTAGCGCAGCAGCATAAACACCTGCCTTACAAGCGTGTGGTATTGAGTTCGATCCCAGGTACCGATTAAAAAAAAAAACTCAATTGAAAGTATACGCAACAAACCAAGAATGGCGGTGCATGCCTATAAACCCAGCACTTGGGAGGCCGAGGCAAGAGGATTGTTGCAAGTTCGAGACTAGCCTGGACTACAAATGAGATCAAGGCCAGCTCGAAGTACATAGCGAGACTCTGTCTCAGAAAAAAAAAAAATATAACAAAAGATTGAGGACAAGGATAGAATATCAGATCTAGAACACAGGAATGGGACTAGCAACGAGGAAAAGAAAGGTATTTTAAAAATGCAAGGCATTGCAAAAAATCAATCCAACAGTTACAAAATGAAGCAAAAAAAAATTTAAGTTTGAATGGAGTCAGTGAGAAAGCTGGAGACTGTTCAGATGCCAGTAAAAATTTCTTTACATAAATAATGGAAGAATTCTTCCTAAACATAGTAAATAATTCGACATACAAGTAAGTGAAGCATATAGAATTCCAAATAGCCATTACCAAAATAAATTGACAAGTCATATAATAAGATTACAGAAATTGGGGCCCCTCCAGGGGGAGAACCACCAGCATCTCCTGTGATCTGCACCATGTTGGAACTTAGGGTGCTAGGAAACCAAGCAAGCAGCTCCCCTCCCTGGTAAGCGGCTGTGGTGTGGCAGGCTGTGGCCCCTCCAGGGGAAGAACTACCAACCAGAGTCTCCTGAGATCCATGTTGGAACTTAGGACGCTGGGGAACCAAGCAACCAGCTTCCCTCTCTGCTAAGCAATATTGAGCCTACTGGTGCACGCGCTGAAAGTCAATCCTCCCACTTCCCCTACCTTCTCCTGCCCCCCATTAGCAAATGGGAACCAAAGATCTGAGCATCTCTTGAGAGGCTGACCATAGCAAATAAGGGGGTATTTCCTTCTACCATCTCCTTGAAGGCAAATATTTTTATTACTGTTTTGCTTTATTCTGATTAATGTACTGCTCTATTCAATATTCTGTTTTGTTAAGTTTTATAATGTTCTGTATTTCATTTTATTTTGATGTACATGATTGAAAGAACAATTATTGAGAAGATAATGAGATATACTGTGATACCTATTACTGTTATCCTGGTAACCTGGTGTGAAGTTCTGTACCAATTTCACTACACTGTCTCAGTTGGCTTTATTTTGTCTTGTTCTGTTTTATTTTATTACCTTCAAAATAAAAATTAAAAAGAATTACAAAAAAAGAGAAAAAAAGGTTACAGAAATTCAACA